AAAAGGCCGACTTTGTGGTCTATTTTCATATAGTGTTTATAGTTGTATTCTCATTTTCTTGGTCTCACTTGATAGAGTGGAAAACATATTATAGAGACAGATGTGACTTTGATTGGTTTTATTATGAAAAGAACCTTGAAATGGAGCTCGAAGTAGGGGAAATGTTTGATTTTTACCAATGTTCAAAAGTAAACAAATGATGTCATTTTCTAATAAATGTCCAACTAGCCGTTCTAATATGGAGTCATGAATGGATTGACATTATTTATACAGTTACTACAATATTGCAGTAGTCTGCATAACAGTAAATCTTTTATTTTTTGTTTGAATAAAAATTCAAAATAGAAAGCAAGAGTAATATCAGAGGGGCCTGGAGATGTGACTGACGAATAAAGAAAATGTTATTTTAGAGCCGAGAATGTCTGCATTGTTCATTCTGGACTGTTACAAAAAATGCAATTTCTAATAAGCATAAAGATCTCAAGGACTGCCCTTCTAGCATCCAGCCTGTTACTAGGTTTATGTAACAAGTAGTCAGTATCCTGGTCCAATTATCCATTAGAATTCAATAAGATTAAATAGTGCTTCAGGATTACAACTGGTAGGCTACTAACTAAAGAAATTAAAATTTAATAAGTTTATTAACAATTAAGTTGTCTAGGCGTATATTATCAAAGTAAATTATAGTAATCAATTGAATATAATATAGGGCACAAGTTCCTACACTTCTCTCGTGTACAGTAGTATTGTGCTGAAGGTACATATCACATCATTATGGCTTTTAAGTACCGTCTGGTACATTGTTAACATTTAATAACATAATGCAAATATCAACAAGTAAGTTTTTGTGTATGCGTGTAAGTGCTCTAAGTAGTTCGCTATGTCTCGAGACTCGACTAGACTTAACCAGTGACTGACTAAAAGTCCTCACATAAAATAACTTCTTCACCAACCTGGCAATCAGAACAGCTAGCTTGAACAATAAGGCGACTGTTAAGCCGAACAGCAATATAACAAGCAACAGCAACACAGAATCAGGAGCAAGTAGATAATATAACGACACTAAGTAGGGACCATCTGCAGATCCTCCACAAAAGTCACAAAACTCCCATACTACTTAATCTAAGTTCAGCATTAGAAAATCCCCAACTGTGACAGTGCACAGATACCAGTACAATTTAGGTCAGAAGCTACAGCTCAGGACCTGAGTTTCTCAGAGAGTGTATGCGACGCACAACCTCAGTACAACGTCGAAAATCACTAAGTCTAGACTGTATTCTGTTAACAGAGTTACACAGAACCAACAACAAGAAAGTGACAGAGATGTTCTTCCAACAAGGGCCCACAAGGGAGAAGCACGTCCAACCAGACAATAGCGCGAGCAGCCCAGACAGACTACTCCAGGTGAGGTGTGATCACCCCCCCCTGATCATGTGACTCTCCGTGGACTGCTGCTGCCTAGCAGTGCACAAGCCAGCAGCGTAATGAGCGGAGAGAAAACACAGTAGTTAGACAATGTTGTCAGCTACTTAACACTCGAACTATGAGCACTGAATAATATATAAATGTTACATCCTACCTAATAATATAACTAAGTCAAATAATAATATAAAGTAATATATTTACAATTTAGCTATTATCGCAAATATATTTTTTAATTTTCGTGAAATTAGCCAAATTGCAAATTTCTGACCACGTTATTGGGTAGTTAAAATCGGTAAATGGGCAGTTTCTTGCACTCAATCGATAGAAAAAATGGAGTTCTAAAGAAATAGCTTTGAGTTTGGTTGGTTGGAACAATGGAATTAGCCGAAAATAGGCTCAAAGTGGGCAGAATTGCCAATTCGTAAATATCTCTGAGGTCGCTAAATTCGTGAGAGCGTAATTCCATCAGTTTTCCATCAAATTTTGTTCTTTTGGTGTCATTACAATCGGGAAAAGATTCTCTTATCATTTCATAAAGAAAAAATAATATTTTTTTTTCGGAAATTTTGCGACACCAGGAGACACCTCAGGATTTGGGGTTGCGACAATCAAGGGGTTAAATAAACTTAAAGCTTTCATTTGTATGGCCAATAGTGAACAGGGAGAATTGCACCGATTCATGTCCTCCATCCAGATATTTAAAATCTTTCCATATTTTCCATTCCTGGCTGGGAATTTATTTTCTTTTTCTCTTCAGCATTAAAATGAAATGATGTTAATTGAAGACTTACTGTATATGACAGTTACATTGTGAAAACACTCAGTGTTACTACCCTGCTGTATATTATAGTTACTGTATTTCATGGCTTATAAGATGCGACTTATGAGACTTTGCTTTAGTTTCAGTGGCTCGGCATCGCAATTTATAGGACACAGTGGTTTTTGAAGACATTTTATGGAAAAAACATGTGTGTAATAAGCTGCTATATGAAAGTTACATTGTGGGAACACTTATAGACTGTGAAACAAGCTGTGGACCAGAATGAAAACTGCAGTGTTGCTGTAGAACTTGGCTTGGCTTACCTTCTCACAGAAATGTTAAAACAACTGATATACCTTTGATGAGTTTCAAGAGTCTTTCTACTCTTGGAGCTCGGCCATGGGCCAGGTTTGCCTGGTGCTAGCCTGATCAGTCAGGCCGTTGCTGCTGGTGGCCTGCTGCCCCACATATCCATCACAGCCTGGTTGATCTGGCACCTAATAGAATCTCCAAACTGACTGCAGAAGTGAAAAACTGTGCTAGACTGCCAGCGATGATGGCGCCAGGCGATGCCAGGATAACACTGTAGCATAAATCTGCACAAGTGGTTCACAGAGCTGCACAGGACGTCAGGTGTTGCTTGCACGTTGAGGGACAATGATACACCTGCACAACTCTTAAACACTGAGTGGCACTAACACTTGCTAGGGTGTGACATGAGAGAACAGTACTGCTCTGGCCTTTCTCTTTTTTTTTTTTTTTTTTTTTTTTTTTTTTTTTTTTTTTTTTTTTCCAACAAGTCGGTCGTCTCCCACCGAGGCAGGGTGACCCAAAAAAGAAAGAAAATCCCCCAAAAGAAATACTTTCATCATCATTCAACACTTTCACCACACTCACACATTATCACTGTTTTTGCAGAGGTGCTCAGAATACAACAGTTTAGAAGCATACACATATAAAGATACACAACATATCCCTCCAAACTGCCAATATCCCAAACCCCTCCTTTAAAGTGCAGGCATTGTACTTCTCATTTCCAGGACTCAAGTCCGACTATATGAAAATAACCGGTTTCCCTGAATCCCTTCACTAAATATTACCCTGCTCACACTCCAACAGATCGTCAGGTCCCAAGTACCATTCGTCTCCATTCACTCCTATCTAACACGCTCACACACGCTTGCTGGAAGTCCAAGCCCCTTGCCCACAAAACCTCCTTTACCCCCTCTCTCCAACCCTTTTGAGGACGACCCCTACCCCGCCTTCCTTCCCCTATAGATTTATATACTTTCCATGTCATTCTACTTTGACCCATTCTCTCTAAATGACCAAACCACCTCAACAACCCCTCTTCTGCACTCTGACTAATACTTTTATTAACTCCACACCTTTTCCTAATTTCCACACTCCGAATTTTCTGCATAATATTTACACCACACATTGCCCTTAAACAGGACATCTCCACTGCCTCCAACCGTCTCTCGCTGCTGCATTTACAACCCAAGCTTCACACCCATATAAGAGTGTTGGTACTACTATACTTTCATACATTCCCTTCTTTGCCTCCATAGATAACGTTTTTTGACTCCACATATACCTCAACGCACCACTCACCTTTTTTCCCTCATCAATTCTATGATTAACCTCATCCTTCATAAATCCATCTGCCGACACGTCAACTCCCAAGTATCTGAAAACATTCACTTCTTCCATACTCCTCCTCCCCAATTTGATATCCAATTTTTCTTTATCTAAATCATTTGATACCCTCATCACCTTACTCTTTTCTATGTTCACTTTCAACTTTCTACCTTTACACACATTCCCAAACTCATCCACTAACCTTTGCAATTTTTCTTTAGAATCTCCCATAAGCACAGTATCATCAGCAAAAAGTAACTGTGTCAATTCCCATTTTGAATTTGATTCCTCAAAATTTAATCCCACCCCTCTCCCGAACACCCTAGCATTTACTTCCTTTACAACCCCATCTATAAATATATTAAACAACCATGGTGACATTACACATCCCTGTCTAAGACCTACTTTTACCGGGAAGTAGTCTCCCTCTCTTCTACACACCCTAACCTGAGCCTCACTATCCTCATAAAAACTCTTTACAGCATTTAATAACTTACCACCTATTCCATATACTACTTGCAACATCTGCCACAATGCTCCTCTATCCACTCTATCATATGCCTTTTCTAAATCCATAAATGCAATAAAAACTTCCCTACCTTTATCTAAATACTGTTCACATATATGCTTCAATGTAAACACTTGATCTACACATCCCCTACCCACTTTGAAACCTCTTTGCTCATCCGCAATCCTACATTCTGTCTTACCTCTAATTCTTTCAATTATAACCCTACTGTACACTTTTCCTGGTATAATCAGTAAACTTGTTCCTCTGTAATTTTTAGTCTCTTTTGTCCCCTTTCCCTTTATATAAAGGGACTATACATGCTCTCCGCCAATCCCTAGGTACCTTCCCCTCTTTCATACATTTATTTAACAAAAGTACCAACCACTCCAACACTATATCCTCCCCTGCTTTTAATATTTCTGTCATACACACTGTATAATACACACTGCCTGAGAGGTCAGACTTACAGTTCTAGAACTTGCAAGGAAGATGCAACAGGTGTTCTATACAGTGGTTGTGTGCTTGTAAGTGGTGGATCACATCAACTTGTGTTTGTACAGCACCTGCTGTACTATATTTCAGTAATACTAATTGAACATATTCAGTAATGATGCTGTAATAAAATATTCATCAAGTGTACAATTTGTAAACTTTTTATTCTAGGAAATGATTGATCTTCACAGGAGTGATCCTGAGAAACATAAGCTGAAGGGGGTGTTGTTGTACGGTCCTCCAGGCTGCTCCAAGACTATGTTTGTACGAGCTCTAGTACATGAAACTGGCTTTACTTTCTTCCCACTCAAGGTATGTTTTTTGACTTTCTTCCCGGTCAAGGTATGTTGTCCTAAGTTTCTTCCCACACAAGGAAGTAGAATTTAATTTCTTTACACACAAGGTATGTTGTGTTTCTTGACACACACAAGGTCGCAAGGTACATTGTGTTTCTCGACACACACAAGGTATATTGTGTTTCTTGACACACACAAGGTACGTTGTGTTTTTTGACACACACAAGGTACATACACAAATAACCCACACATAAAAGAGAGAAGCTTACGACGACGTTTCGGTCCGACTTGGACCATTGACAAAGTCACACAGTGTGACTTTGTCAATGGTCCAAGTCGGACCGAAACGTCGTCGTAAGCTTCTCTCTTTTATGTGCGGGTTATTTGTGTATCGTTCCAGTCACGGTATTGTGCCTTTTTGTTATTTACACAAGGTACATTGTGTTTCTTGACACACACAAGGTACGTTGTGTTTCTTGACACACACAAGGTACGTTGTGTTTCTCAACACGCACAAGATATGTTGTGTTTCTCAACACGCACAAGGTACATTGTGTTTCTTGACACACACACACAAGGTATGTTGTGTTTCTTGACACACACACACAAGGTATGTTGTGTTTCTTGACACACTTTGAGAAAGACTACCACACCAGCAGTCGACTCTCACTCATATCCTTGAAGATACTTCTGTGTAGCAGTGTATGTTCAGTGTCACAGTTACATTACTCAGGTATCTGTATTACCATAGTAATACACACGATGAAAATTATATATACCAGTATGTAATAAGAATACCATAGTAATACACACTAAAAATGTAATGTGTATCACATAGATAACTGGTTCAGGGAACTGACAAGTTGATGAATTAGACACATGTGCAACACTTCTGTATCTTTACTGTGGAAATGTTTTGGCAACCAGTGGCTTTCTCAGTCCAATACACAGAAGAATGGTTGAAGATCAGAAGGAGTGTGTGTGGTAGTCAGTCCCTCAGTTTTATCAGTATTGATGGACTAATCACATTGGCTCCAGGGGAAGGGACTGATCACCTCCAACTCCTGATCTTCAACCATTCTTCTCTGTACTGGACTGAGGAAGCCACTGGTTGATGAAATATTTCCGTATCCCAGCATACAGGGTGATTACCAATAGACCCCTGGCTGTCTCCAAGAATGTGCTGGACAGGCACCTAAAGTCAGTACCTGACCTGCCGGGCTGTGGGTCATATGTTGGTTTATATGCAGCCAGCAGTAACAGCCTGGTTGATCAGGCCCTGATCCACCATGAGGCCTGGTCATGGACTGGGCCCCGGGGGCGTTGATCCCTGAAACACCCCCTAGGTAGGTATACGTAAATGTTGTATCATGTAATAATATTTGCACCAGAAAATGTAATTGACATATGTATCTTCTTTCAGTGCACCGGCCGTATTCCACCGAGGCGGGGTGGCCCAAAAGAAAAAATGAAAGTTCCTCCTTTTACATTTAGTAATATATACAGGAGAAGGTGTTACTATTCCCTTGCTCCTGGCATTGTAATTGACATATATGTACAGTTAATCAGTTACAGTAGGGTCCCACTTTAATGGCAGGTTAGGCTCCAGGCTACCGCCGTAAAGCGGAAATCGTAGTAAAGTGGAACACCCTTTTTTTCCACTTATAAATGCATATAAATACTAGATAACAAGTTTACACTAACATATATTAAGTTAGCAATAGAACTAGGCATTAAAAAAACAATAAAAAGTAAAATACACATATAGTACACTCGTTACTTACCTTAAAATATTTGTAGTCTAAATCTAGGGTGAGATGACTAGTATTTATTGTAACAAATCAAGTGTGGTATGTATGGTAGCCAGCCAGGCTACCATACCAGGCCACCCCACCCACACAATATTCTATGACATTTAAGCATCCCAGGGCGATAAAATGCATATACAGTTCTCTCATTACTTACCTTAAAATATTTGTAGTCTTAACCCTTTGACTGTTTCGGTTGTATATATACGTCCTATGAGCCGCCATGTTTGATGTATACAGTGGACCCTCGCCTAACGATATTAATCCGTTCCTGAGAGCTCAACGTTAAGCGAAATTATCGTTAGCCGAATTAATTTTCCCCATAAGAAATAATGGAAATCAAATTAATGCGTTCCTGACACCCCAAAGTATGAAAAACAAAAATTTTACCACCTGAAATATTAATTTTAATACACACAAACTGAAGAAGACATGTATAATTACATGACACTTAGATTTATTGAAGATCTGGTGATGATTGATGGGATGGGAGGAGGGGAGTGTGTGGATGGTGTTAATGTTTAGAAGGGGAATCCCCTTCCATTAGGACTTGAGGTGACAAGTCCTTTTCCGGGGTTACTTCCCTTCTTCTTTTAATGCTTTGACTGTCAAGGTCGTATTTATACGACTTACGAGGTACCGTGTTTGACGTATATACAGGTCTCCCTCAACATTCGCGAGGGTTAGGGGATCAAGAGCCTCGCGAATGTTGAAAAACCGTGAATGTTTGGTGCCCCAATATATTGTAGGGAAATATAATACAATACTGCTTCCTTAACTTGTTGAACCGTGAACAACCATAAAATACATGAAAACGTCATAAACTGTACTAAAAATATACATGTTATGCTTTAATAACATGTATGTTATTAAATACCACGGACTCCGCCATTGCCTCCACCAATGCCTCCACCACTTCCCCAACCACTGCCAGTCCCTACTACCCTCCCTCCGACCCCCGCAACTGGCAGCCAGCCCTCCCACCACTCAGTGTGGTGAGTGTTTTGTTTGTTCATTATTTGCTATTAAACTTCAGTATAAATAATGCAAACCCATTCATGACTGCATATTGGAATGGCTATTCGGACAGGTATTGGACGGTGACATCATGTGTTTACTCTTGAACACAGCAAAGAATCAAGCATTTCTGCTACTGCTAATAATAACAATAGTAAAAATAATAATAATAATAATAATAATATGTATTATTATTATTAATAACATGTATGTTATTAAATACCACTGCCTCAACCACTGCCTCAATCGCTTCCTCAACAGCTGCCTCACCCACTGCCTCAATTGCTGCCTCAACAGCAGCCTCACCCACTGCCTCAATCGCTGCCTCAACCACTGCATCAATCGCTGCCTCAACAGCTGCCTCAACCACTGCCTCAATCGCTGCCTCAACAGCTGCCTCACCCACTGCCTCAATCGCTGCCTTAACAGCTGCCTCAACCACTGCATCGATTGCTTCCTCAACAGCTGCCTGACCCACTGCCTCAATCGCTGCCTCACCCACTGCCTCAACAGCTGCCTCAACCACTGCCTCAATTGCTGCCTCAACAGCTGCCTCACCCACTGCCTCAATCGCTGCCTCAACAGCTGCCTCAACCACTGCCTCAATCGCTGCCTCAACAGCTGCCTCACCCACTGCCTCAATCACTGCCTCAACAGCTGCCTCACCCACTGCCTCAATCGCTGCCTCAACAGCTGTCTCACCCACTGCCTCAATCGCTGCCTCAACAGCTGCCTCAATCGCTGCCTCAACAGCTGCCTCACCCACTGCCTCAATTGCTGCCTCAACAGCTGCCTCAACCACTGCCTCAACAGCAGCCTCACCCACTGCCTCAACCACTGCCTCAATCGCTGCCTCAACAGCTGCCTCACCCACTGCCTCAATCGCTGCCTCAACAGCTGCCTCAACCACTGCCTCAATCGCTGCCTCAACAGCTGCCTCACCTACTGCCTCAATCGCTGCCTCAACAGCTGCCTCACCCACTGCCTCAATCGCTGCCTCAACAGCTGCCTCACCCACTGCCTCAATCGCTGCCTCAACAGCTGCCTCAATAGCTGCCTCAACAGCTGCCTCAATCGCTGCCTCAACAGCTGCCTCACCCACTGCCTCAATTGCTGCCTCAACAGCTGCCTCAACCACTGCCTCAACAGCAGCCTCACCCACTGCCTCAATCGCTGCCTCAACCACTGCCTCAATCGCTGCCTCAACAGCTGCCTCAACCACTGCCTCAATCGCTGCCTCAACAGCTGCCTCAACCACTGCCTCAATCGCTGCCTCAACAGCTGCCTCACCCACTGCCTCAATCGCTGCCTCAGCAGCTGTCTCACCCACTGCCTCAATCGCTGCCTCAACAGCTGCCTCAATCGCTGCCTCAACAGCTGCCTCAATTGCTGCCTCAACAGCTGCCTCAACCACTGCCTCAATCGCTGCCTCAACAGCAGCCTCACCCACTGCCTCAATCGCTGCCTCAACAGCTGCCTCAACCACTGCCTCACCCACTGCCTCAATCGCTGCCTCAACCACTGCCTCACCCACTGCCTCAATCGCTGCCTCAACAGCTGCCTCACCCACTGCCTCAATCGCTGCCTCAATCGCTGCCTCAACCACTGCCTCAATCGCTGCCTCAACAGCTGCCTCTACCACTCCAGTCGCACTCAATCTACAAGCACCAAACAATGAATTATTGTGAAATGTTTGGAAGAGCAGGGAGACTAATGCTCACTCCAGCATAAACAAAGCCACACTGACCATGTGTCAACCACTCCCTCGTATTTTTGTACAACTTCCTTCAATTATATCGTATTTATTATTATTATTATTATTAATTATTATTATTATTATTACTATTGTTATTATTAGCAGTAACAGAAATGTTTGATTCTTTGCTGTGTTCAAGAGTAAACACATGATGTCACCGTCTAATACCTGTCCGAATAGCCATTCCAATATGCAGTCATGAATGGGTTTACATTATTTATACTCTAGTTTAATAGCAAATAATGAACAAACAAAACACTCACCACACTTGAGTGGTGGGAGGGCTGGCTGCCAGTTGCGGGGGTCGGAGGGAGGGTAGTAGGGACTCGCAGGTGGCGGGAAACTTAAATATGATTTGGCGGCTGGGAATTTGGTGGCTGGGAATTTGGCGGTTGGGAATTCGCGAATGTGTGAAGCCCGCGAAAGCTGAAAACG